CCAAGTTCATAACATTCAGCATGTTGGTGTTTTGCAGTGTATGGGTCACCTTTGTCCCAACTTACCTAAGCACCAAGGGAAAATACATGGTGGTTGTGGAGATCTTCTCCATCTTGACTTCCAGTGCTGGTTTGTTGGGTTGCATATTTTCCCCCAAGTGTTATATAATTGTTCTAAAGCCTGAGCTAAATAGTAAAGAGCTAATAATAAGGAGTAATAAATAGAATTCTGTTTGTCAGTTTCTCATTCTTTAAAGCAGGTAAACATTGTAACAATGTATTTGCATTTTTGTGTTTGTGTGTGTGTGTGAGAGAGAGAGAGAGAGGGAGAGAGGGGGGAATGGACATATGGACTGAGACAGAGAGATATGAGATGAGATGAGATAAGACGAAACAAGACGAGATGAGACGAGACAAGACAAGATAACCTTTATTGTCATTTTTTTCTGTGAACACACTGTCATACATTAAAAAATGCAATTCTGATGCCTGCTCACAAAAGAAAATGTGTATGTGTGTGTGTGTGTGTGTGAAGAATATACAAAGCAGTGGTGGGATTCAAATATGTGAACAATCAGTTCTTTGTGTGGATGCCTGGGCAACAAAAAAATTAGCTGAATCCCACCACTGATACAAAGGCATAACAACAAATCCAGCAATGGAAATTTAGTATAATATAGTTTGAAAACTAACACAGAAATGACAAAAGACATAACTTTCCAATATTTTTCTCTTTAAAAAAACCACAGGATTTGAATCAATGTCATGGAGTTAGTAATGTCAAATATATGTTCATTTATAACAGCTGTTGAATTCACTATAAACCCATATAAATTTATGAATAATCTGCAATTGTGGGTTATATTTGGCATTTGTTTTGTTCATTTTACATGTTCTAAGACAAATTAATTTTAATATCCCATTCATTATATTGGGATGACATGTTTTAGTATGTTCCCAACCCTTTCTTAGGTTTGTAATTGGACTTGAATTGAAAATTTTATTTATATGGATAAAAAATATCACATGGTAATCAAGAAGATAATAAAAACTTTTACAACTAAAATTCTTTTTTGAGTGTCAGTGTCTCTTTTTGACTTCCTCCATTTGCAATAACATTCAAAATTAGGACTTTTAACTACTCTTTCAGTATGCACCCCACTGTATTTTATGACTTATTTCATCATTAATTTTCTAATAATTTATCATCTATATATTATTCATTCATTAAAACCTCTGAATGCAAAAAAGGGAATGAAAAGTACAAAATAAATGTAATAAGTGATTTGGTCACATAGAGCAGGAGTGTCCATGGGCCAGTTGCAACATATGGAGGCAGTGCCCATCCCAGGTCCGGCAATGCAAAAAAAAATCACAATACATTGTGACATATCACGTGACATGGTGAGTTTGACACCCGTGATATAGAGAATGAATGTAGATCTATTTACAAAATAAATATGTGAACAGAGTGAAACAAAAGTAAGGGAAGAACAAGAAAATGATAGAGATGAGAAATCTAAGGTCCAACCCCCCCAAAAAAGGAAACATTGTATGGGTATGAGAGTAAGAATAGTTTGGACAGATAAAAATGATCAAAGAGATGTAAGGATAATCTCCGTGTAAATTAGAACCAAATAGTTTAAAAAAAAATCTCATGATTTTAATTTCCTTTAATAACTTCTTGAAACCTTTTTTATGCCTTTTATAATGTTATCTTAATATATGCATTTATTTTATTATGTATACTGTGCTTCAAAACAGTTACTATTACTTAAGCAGAACTGATGGCCTACAAAAGCTTTGGAGCTTTTATTTGTATGGAAAAACCTCTATTTCAGATCATTTTCTTTGTAAGAGAAAATAATTGGAAAAATGGGGGGGGGTGAGTCACAGACTTGGAGAAGTCAAATATATAAACATTTGTAACAACTGTTGAATTCATTTAAGGGCCATCTAAGTTTGTAAATAACCTGCAAATGTGAGTTATATTTGGCACTTGTTTTGTTTGTTTTACATGTTCTAAGCAAATTAAATTTAAAATGTTGTTCATTTTACTTGGGTGGCATGTTTTAATCTGGATAATCCCTCCTTAGGTTTGTCATTGGATCTGAACTGAAACATTTATTTATATGGACCAAAAAAATCAAGAGGTTATCAAAGAGATAACTAAAACTGTTACTATTGAAGTTCTTGTTCTGGTGGGTCAGTGTGTCCTTTTGACTTCCTCCTTTTGCAATAAAAAAAATAAAAATTACGAGTTTTAAACAATTTCTAAATACACAACCCCCCTGGAAATTATGGCTTGCTCCATCATTAATGGGTATTAAATGTCTATATTTTTCTAAAACCTTAAAAAAATTAATTCCAACCATTGTGTGTTCTTTGTATGAGGATGGATTGGATAATGTAATCATAATGAATTTGGCTATTTTGATTATGGTGAACAAACCCATCACTTACATAACTTGATACCTGATGCTAGACAATGTATCAAGATAGTCAATCTTCTTCTTAATGACTATTTAACCTGAATTATGAAGAATCAGAATCTAGGGATAATGTGTTATGTTCTTCTTCATTTAAAAGCAAACATGTCAAACACAAGGTCCGTGGGCCACATCAGACCCATGTTGGGCACAGATCTGGCCTCGGAGCCACCAGTAAAGGCAGTGAGCATGCATGGGCCGACAGTATTCAGCAGCAGCCACAGCCCTTGGTGGGTGCACTTCGGGGTTTCACAGCCCAAGCAGCCCAGATGGGTCCAAGTGCTGTGACCTCAGGCCAACCCTCCAAACAGCAGATGAAAGCAGATTTATGGGAGGGAGGCAAGTGATCTGGCCCGCTGGATGTTCCGGGCATCCTGCTCCATCCCACTGTCTATCTTTGCTTGCCCTCAGCCACCATGGCTGGGATGGGGTAGGCAGCTGCATGGCTACCCGTCATATCCGGCAGGCCAGATCGCATGTTTCCCCCCCATACCTCTGCCACTGCCTGCTACTATTACCACCATCCAGGCCACAATGGCTGTGGGCAAGCAAAGACAGACAGTGGGCCACAGCAAGGTAGTCTAGCCGGTCACTGTCACCACCACACTGCAGCACCTGTGCACTTAGCCCCTGCCATCCAACCTCAACCTCCAATGAGTCTGCCACCTGCCCTCCCACCCCAATGGCCCCAGAAAATGGAAAGGATGGGGAGTCCCCATCCCCAAGAGGCAGCCGGGATTCCTTTCCCCTCCCTGCTCCACCCTGCCCAAGCCCAGTCCCAGGTGCACCTTGGGGTCCCACAGCCAGGCCACCCTTGCCCTGCCATCTGCTTTGCCTTGCCTTGGCTTACCTCATGGTAGTGGCACCAGTATCAGCAACCCATCTAGTAGGAGCTCTGCTGCCCTTCAGTCTCCCCCAGCCTGGATAGCCCAACCCAGGTAACCTAACATCAAGCTGGCCACCCCCACCCTGGCCCTGACCACCTGGTCAGACATGACGATATAGCCAACCACAATGCGGATGCAGCCATCAATAAAATCAAGTTTGACACCCTCGGTAAAGCAATTGCTGACAAACTCAGTCTCAGATAGTTGTTTTTTAAAAAAACCTGGTCATAGTCAGTTATTTGTTATTTGTCAGTCCTTTATTTCTTCCTTTGTTTTTCTCCTATGTCAAATGTCTTATATCTATAGAGCTATGACTTATATCTATTGAATTATAGATTTCCAAAACAAGCATAGCTTAGCAGCAGGCTCAGTAGAAATTCAATAGAATTAAGAATAAAAGCCCTCAATCACAGATGAGCAATATATTGGGGAAAAAATGGAACACACAAAATTTCTCTGAATAGTGGTTGAAAATGGACTGGCATCCTTAAGATAGATCTTTAGTACAAAATAAACTATAGTGCAGTCATGAGTTTTCTATTTAGAAAAATGGAAAATTAAGTGGAATTTATTCCCAGATAAGTGAGTGTTATGTAACAGTATGTTACCAACTAGGGCTGTAATCTATGAATTCATTGGGAGAGGGAGAAGGAGGAGAAAAAAGGAGACATATGCTGGCAAACCAAAACTAGTTTAGCAAAACTACCATCCTGCAAAACTGCCAGCCTGTTCACTCTAAGAAGAAGTAGAAAAGAACTATAGAACTGTAAACATTGAGTCAATGTGGTAGGTTCCATATGGACCTTGGCCAGGTAGATAACTTTGAAATGCAAGGCAGCACATAGACACCAGATTTTGTTGTATGGCTTTGCCATTACAAAGTCAGAAGAATGGGGAAAAGTAACCAGAAACTGCCTGAAACATGTTACATGAATGAAGGGGAAATTTGAAATATTCTTTTATTATCCTAATAAAAGGGGGGAACCCTCACAAGTACAGTATGTTATATGTTTTAAGTTGGATCAGCTTGCACAAACCCATTGTCATGGTTCCGACAGATGAAATTCTTCAAAAGAACTTTGAGGTATTATTTAACTTAAAGAATTTTTTATTCAAGAAACATATCAGCACTACATAGTTGAAACCAAAAACTAAATTCCCCTCCCCTTGGTACAAATAACAAAGCACAATTTCCTCCTCCAATTAACAGTCATAAATCACATTCCCCAATTAGTTTGAAGCACGGGCTTTCTCCCCAGCTCTCCAGCCCACCAAAATTCTAACAACTCAGGGCCCAGTGACCTTGGGATCCCACAGCTAAGTTGTTATTGTTATGACTAGCTAGACTCTCATCCACATTCCCCCTCCCAGCATCAACTAACTGTAAAAGCAATAGAGGAAAAATGATTGCATTTCCATCTATTGTCAAAGCAAGAACATCCGATGTTAGCAGCATTGACACCCATATCAGTAATATATTATGATGCATATGTCATCTTTCCTTCCCCTTAGGCTTTGCTCTGGAGACACAAGCACATACACTTACGTACTTGTCTTCACTATTTCATAAAAGCCAAATATCGCAAGTTGCATGTTCTTTGACTCTCATAATAGTCACTCTTTTGTCTGAATGTTCACTAAGGCATAGAGTTTTTTTAAAAAAAAATCAAATCAAACTTGTCCTCAATAATTGTCTAATGAAAAGGTTTAGAATAAATTCCATATTACAATGATCAGTAGTAGCACATGAGGTTAATTATGAAAATGAAGCATTTATGCAGCACTCATTTCTTCTGGGCATATTTCCATGGAGTATTTATCTTCTCAGAAGATCTCATAGTTTCGGGCTATAACTAAAAGAGACAAAGACTGAACAGCTGCTCCAGTTAGCATTGGTGATTTTAAAAGTTTCTGGTCAATCAAGATTTCTGCCCACCAATGAAATAAAACGTGCAATTGCAAGCAGGTAACTTTGTAACAATATCTGTCTGATGGTGTGTGCCCATATTTGTGTGCATGCATGAGCATGTGGGTGTGAGAGACAGACAGACAGAAATAGATATTTTGTCCATGTAGATTTCAAATTTTCCAGGTATATATGTTAGGATTTCTTTTATTTTTACTCAGAAATAAACTCTATTCACTCTTTGGAGTCTAAGCATAAGCTACCCTGAAATTGTTTTAGAATAGAGCAGAGGTCCCCAACCTTTTGCGCACCAGGGACCAGTTCTGTGGAGAAAGGATTTTCTGCAGACCAGAAAGTGTGTGGTTTTGTGTGTTGCCTGCATTCCATTGATGGGGCTTTGCTTGTTTGTGCTGGCATACCGTAGTCTGGTACTGGTCCACAGACTGGGAGTTCGGGACCCCTGGAATAGAGAATTAAAAAGAGGAAGCAGATTGACACTAAAAAATATAGTAATGATTTCACACAAAAGATTATTGTTACTGTTGTTGATGATGTAAAGACTTCTTTAAGAAGAAAAATAGACATAGCAACAAAACCAACAATGGCAAACAATTTGGCATAATATAGTTTGAAATCTAATGCAGGATTAGCTGCAAATAGAAATGACAAAAGTTGTAAGTTCCCAGCACTTTTTTCTTTAAACAGCCACAAGATTTGAATCTATGTCATGGACTGTCAACAGCTATTCCAAATGAGTATATATTTGATGTTATTATGTCAAATATATGCTCATTTGGAACAGCTATTAAATTAAGTGTAGGCTCACTTAGGTTTGTAAATAACCTACAATTGTGGGTAATGTTTAGAACTTGTTTTGTATGTTTTACATGTTCTAAGCAAATTAGATTTAAAATCTCATTCATTTCACTTTGGTGGCATGTTTTAATGTACCAATTCCTTCTTAGGTTTGTGACTAGACCTGAACTGAAAGGTTTATTCATGTGGACAAAAAAAGAAAAGGTAATCAAAAAGGTAATTAAAAGTCTTACAACTGAAATTCTCGTTCAGGTGTCAATCTCTTTTTCTACTTTCTCCTTTTGCAATAAAATAAAAATAAAAATTATGAGTTCTAACCAATCACTCATTATACACCCCCTTGCATATTATGACTTGCTTCATCATTAATTTTCTAATAATCATATTTATATTATTCATTGACTTGAACTTCTGAATGCAAAAAGAAAAAATAACATAGTAAGTGGCTTGGTCATATAGGGAGAATGAACATGGACTCATTTGCAAAATAAATATGTGTTTGAAGCAAAAGTAAGGGAGGATGAGGAAAATCACAGAGATGAAAAATGTAAGGACCAAAAATAATTTATGAAACAGTGTATGGGTATGAGTCAGAATAGTTTGCAATGATTAAAATAAACAGAGAGTACAAAGAATAATGTCAATGAAAATTAGAATCAGATAGATTTCTTTTTTAAAAAAATCATAATTTTAATTTCCTTTAATGAATTCGTGTGACTATTTCTGTACTTATTGTAATGCTGTCTTAATATATGTATTTATTTTACATTATATACTGTGCTTCAAAATCCTTACTGTTACTTAAGCAGAACTGACAGCCTCCAAAGGTTTTGAATTTTTATTTGCATGTAAAAGACCTCTATTTCAGGTCTTGTTCCTTGCCAGAAAAGATAACTAGAAAAATGTTCTGTAATATTCCTTCACAGATGAATCCTCGATATAAGATGACACAGAATTCAACTTCTGTCACTGAATTTATACTCCTGGGACTCTCCAGTGACCCTCAGGTTCAACTCATTCTCTTTAGTGTCTTTCTTATTATTTATCTGATGGCTGTGGTTGGAAATATATTTATATTTCTTATTGTCAGCTTAGATGTCAGACTCCATAATCCCATGTACTTCTTCCTATGCAATCTTTCTGTAGTAGATATTGGCTACACAACTTCCACTGTTCCGAAGATGTTGATGAATTATCTCTCTAATGACAATCGAATCTCTTTCTCAGGCTGCTTGTCCCAGATGTACTTCTTCATCTGCTTTGGTGGCACAGAGTGTGTTTTGTTAGGCATCATGGCATATGACCGATATGCAGCTATTTGCCACCCATTGCATTATGGTATACTCATGCGGCCTAAAGTGTGCATTTGGCTTGCAGTAACTGCTTGGATTCTTGGCTTGTCAAATTCAGCTATCCACACTGGCCTTATGATCTTTCTGTCCTTCTGCCAGGATAATGTCATAGAACATTTTTTCTGTGACATCCCTCCTCTCTTCCAACTGTCCTGCACTGATACTCAGATCAATCAAATTGCTACTTTTGTATTTGGAGGAGGTATAATTATGGGTTCCTTCCTGATGATTCTGTTGTCCTATGTATACATAGCCTTAGCAATATTTAGGATTGGGATTAAGGGTGGACGTCGCAAAGCATTTTCCACCTGTGCCTCTCACCTGGCTGTAGTGAACATCTACTTTGGCACTATCATCTTCACTTACATGCGCCCTAATTCCACTTACTCTCAAGAGCAAGATCATGCTTTACCAGTGCTCTATGGAATTATAACACCTATGCTTAATCCAATCATCTACAGTTTAAGAAACAGGGATGTGCAACAGGCATTTCATAAAATAATTCAAGGAAATTAGGGGAGAGGTTTGGGCATTAAATGTCCAATGTTTTCCAAAACCTTTTAAAAATTAATTTTAAGGCTGGATTGGACATTGTTGTAATCATAATGAATTTGACTGTTTTGATTTTGATGAACAAATCATCACTACAATTTTGCAGAACCTAATACGTGATGTTAGACAATGTACCAAAATATTCAATCTTCTTCTTAATTATTTAACTTCTGAATTATGAAGAATCAGAATTTAGGGATAATGTGTTGAAGGACTTTATTGGCCTTGTGGGCTGGACTGACTATTCTGTCCAGGTGTTCTTAGCCTCATCATGAACATAATAAATTTGGTAAGGCCAACTGAATTCTAATGAAATTCTAGTGAAATTAACTATGGTTAATTAATTATGAAAAATAATTTTGTTAATCCAGAGCTCTAACAGAACATGGCTATGGTTCTAAGATCTCTATGATTGGTTTTTTTGTGGACAAAAAATCTTTTCCCTGAAGTTTATTGCATTTTATGCATATATTTGAAAGTTCTACTACATGTATGGCATGACTCTTCCACCTCCAATTCTATAATTGTTAAGAATGTATCCTCTTTTTTTTTTAGTTTAAAGCAATTACTGACAAACTCAGCCTATTTTAAGACTATTTGTTTCCAAAAATCTATGCATACTCAAATATTGGTGTCTTAAATTGTTCACTCCTTTATTTTTTTCCCAGTTTTTCCCCCCATGTCAAATGTCTTATATCTATAAAGCTATGATTTTCCAAAATAACCATAGCCTAGCAGTGGGCAAAGTAGAAATTCAATAAAGGTAAGTGTTGAGTCCTCGAGTCAACGGCGAATGAAGAGAACACATTCTGTAATTCCAACAGTCTTTATTCTCAGTAGTTTTTCCTCCCGACACAACTCTGAGGCTCGCAAGCCTCTCTGTCTCCTTTAATAGAATCCCCAGGCAAAAAGGCAACAATCTGGTGTGCTTCCGCGCCTCGCGCATGCACGCAAAGCCTGCGCCATTCAGTCTGGTCCCGGGCAGCTTGCAACATCCCGGGACCATTGCAACGTCCCGAGCCTGCCTTTGCAGGCTCAGGACACAACACCCCTTCCCCCCCGGATGAGACTTATATAGGTAGTTATATGCGACCTCAACATGAGTGTGGTGTGCCAACCCAGGGAACCCGCACATCTATTGCAGCTACTTACTAGTCACACTAGTACCAGGCTATTGTTTTGGAATTAAGTGCTCACACTTTCAAGTTCCCCCAACAACAGTAGGCACCCTTTCATCTGCCTTGCTTTGACAAAATCTTCAAGGTATTTGGGAGATCTTGTTACCTCTGTGACCTCCTCAGGTTCTGGGAACCCCCTAATTCCTCTTGTACAGAGGTTGGAGTGAAGTTGCCTCCTCTTTTAAACCCTGGTGGTCCCTGTGAACTGTGTCCTGTTGCCTGGTCTGCTTGCTTGCCCACCGGGCTCGTCAGACCAGGACTTTGCTCCCCACTGAATCTGGTTGACCTGCCTAACTGTAGGCTCTCAGACCCATCTACGTGCCCGCCAGTATTTGGCATTTCAGTAGAACTCTCCAAGTCCACAATGGACCTATCAAGGGAACGCATCCCTTCACTCCCAAGCCCCGTAACAAAATTGTCTGGGGTTTCTGCAGTGCCCCAATACTCTGTTGTCCCCCATTCTATGCCAGAGGTGCCAGAATCAGGATTTGCCTCTCTGACTACCTCCTTGTGTGAAGACTTCCTTTTGGAAGTAGTAGCAGTGGTGGGTCAGCTTGACTGTTTGTGTGCCAGTTCTCTTGCAATGTTTGGGTTATTTGGATGCTCCTGGTTATTCTCCCTGACTGGAGTGCTGAATGGTAGTTGTGAATGATGAGTATGCCCCCTGGGTGACTCCTTGGCTGGAGTAGACACTGGTGCCTATATTATTTCTTGTTCCCCTGAATTCCTGTTAGGGACACTTGTGGAACCTTGGAACAGGCCTTCTTCGGCCTCTCTGTTTGGCCCCGGCTGCTGCCAACACCCTTCCCTTTGCCCACAGTGGTCCCCCTTCTCCCCTGGAGAAAGCCCAGGAGTTGCAGAGGGTAAGTCCAGTCTCCTACGCAGCTGATCGATATGCTGCCGAAGGACACGACAGTCATCCAAGGAAACCTCATAGGACAATGGACCATTGACCTTTCATACTACAGCAGGAACCCACAGGTGACAGGGCCCATAGTTCCAGGTCCATACTGGGGCACCCACTTGCAGACACCGTGGTGCCCTGGGTTGGGTGACCCTAGGAGGCAGTCTGTCCGGATGCAACCTGTCAAGTTTGGTGATCAGTTTGCGCCCCCAGCAGAGTTCAGCCGGGCTCTTCCCAGTGGAAGTGGAAGATGTGGTATGGTAAGCAAGAAGAAAGTCTGCCAACCTGTGGTGCCAGTCCCTGTAGGTCAGTCTCTTTAAAGCATCCTTGGTGATGCGAACCATCCGCTCAGCCATACCATTGGTGGAAGGGTGGAATGGTGCCGAAGTTGCATGACGAATCATGTTGGCCTGCAAGAAAGCCTGAAACTTAAAAGAAGTGAATTGAGGACCATTGTCAGAAACCAGAACATCGGGGAGGCCATGTGCAGCAAAAATCCCTCTCAGTACTTGAATGGTCTTGGCAGCAGTGGTGGTAGAGACAGGAACAACTTCAAGCCACTTTGAATGGCTGTCAACAAGGACCAAGAAGAATTGACCCTGAAAGGGCCCAGCATAATCTACCTGCACCCTTGACCAAGGTGACTGTGTCTCCTCCCATCTATGCACAGGAGCCTGAGGCATTTCAGGGCGTGAGTGCAGACACAAGTGGCATCCATGCACTTGGGCCTCTATTTCCCTGTCTAAACCTGGCCACCATAAATGGCTACGCTCAAGCGCCTTCATCCTGACAATGCCAGGATGACCCTCATGAAGGGAAGCTAAGACTCTAGGTCTCATTGAGGTAGGAATGACAACTCTGCTGCCCCACAACAAACAAACCTGGAAAGTGGATAACTCATGCTTCTTGAGCCAGAAATTCTGGAACTCAGTACCTGGACAACTCTCAGGCCATCCAGACAAAACCCATGACAACACACAGGTGAGTGTGAGATCCATGGCTGATTCAGCAGCCACATCCCTGGCCTTTAAGGGAGACTTAGGCAACGCCTGAATGGAAAGAATGTTGATGGCAGGGGCAGGGTCAGCCTCCACCATTTCTAAAGGTAATCTACTTAGGCTCTCAGCATGGCCCATTTCCTTGCCAGGTTTGTGAACCAATGAAAAATCATAGGCTGACAGAAAGATAGACCATCTCAGCATTCTATGGGAGATGATATAGGGAGTGTGTTTGATTGTAGTAAACAACCCCAACAGAGGCTTATGGTCAGTATAGAGCGTGAAATGTCTGTCATATAAAAAATCATGGAATTTTTTAATTCCAGCAACAATGGCCAAGGCTTCCCTATCTATCTGAGCGTAGTTCCGCTCAGCAGAGGACAAGGTTCTGGAGTAATATGCAATAGGAACCTGAGTTCCATCAGCTCTTAAGTGGCTAAGTACAGCTCCTATCCCATAAGGGGAAGCATCACAAACGATGCACACAGGTAGAGTTTCATTAAAATGTGCAAGCACATCATTTGATGTAAGTAAGGCCTTGACCTCATTGAAGCTTTTTTCATGTGTTTGTGACCACTGACACACTACCTGCTTGTCTAGAAGTCTATGAAGTGGCTCAGCTACATTAGCTTTGTTAGGTATGAAAGCATTGTAAAAATTCAGGAGGCCCAGAAAAGCTTGTAACTCAGCTTTAGACTTAGGCCTAGGAGCTTGCAGTATAGCTTTTAATTTAGACTCAGCAGGATGAATACCCCTGGCATGTATTCTGAATCCCAGGAAATCTGTAGAAGACACTCCAATTTTGCATTTGTCTTTTTTAAGCTTGAGACCTGTTTTTCTGAAACGCAGCAGAACAGCCATCAATCTCTCAGCTAAATTCTGAGTGGATTCTCCTGCAATAAGGACATCATCAAAATAGGGGCAAACCCCTGGTATACCCCTCAGGGTGTTTTCCATTACACTTTGGAAGATTCCAGGAGCTACATTTACTCCAAACCGTAGTCTTTTGACTTTGAATGCCCCCCTATGAGTTACAATGGTCTGTGCTTCAGCAGCAGCTTCATCAACAGGTAACTGTTGATAAGCCTGTGCTAAATCTAGCTTTGCAAAAACACGCCCCCCCCTTTGAGGGAGGCCAAAATATGGCTGACTATAGGTACAGGATATGCATGCTGTTGCAATGCCTTATTTAGGGTGCATTTGTAGTCTGCACAGATGCGAATGTCTCCATTAGCCTTGAGAGGTGTAACTATGGGGGTTTCCCATGGACTTGAGTCAACAGGTTCTAAAACAACTTGCTGGATCAATTTGTCTAATTCAGCATCAATTTTTCCTTTTAAAGCAAAGGGTACTCTCCTTTCTTTTACCCTAATTGGAGTGACAGTGGGGTCCAGCTTCAAAGAAACTGGGGGGCCTTTGTAAGCTCCTAGCTGGGGGCTGAAGACATCTGCAAACTCTCTGCAGACTTCTTGTAGGCCTGGCATCAAATTGTGTAGCCCTGTAACTTGGATTCCCAAGATCTCAAACCAATCAAGCTCAATGAGACTCGTTCGTTCACCCCTAACTACCAATACATCTAATGAACCTACAAAATCCTTGTATTGTATTGTAAGGGTGGCCTCCCCCTTAACACACACCTTGGAATTTTGGAAGTCTGTTAAGACTATATTGGATGGCCTAAGCTTGGCCTGGAACCCACTGCTAGAGCAAATCTTTCTGAAAATGTGGATAGAAATGATTGAAAGGGCAGACCCAGTATCCAGGTCCATGACCAATGGAACTCCTTGCAACTTCATCTTAAGTGACAGTTTTTTTTAAGTGGCCTGTGTGTACCTGTCCTATAGATGCTTCTACCTGATGCACAGAAACCCACCCTGCTTTGGCTGGAGACCCTGGTATCTTTCAGGCGCAATTCTTCTCGGGGTTGTACTTTCTGACGGCCCAGACACACTGCTGCTATGTGGCCTTCCTTGCCACATGCTCTACAGATTGCAGAACAGAACCTGCAGTCGGTCCTCTTGTGGCGACCTCCACACCTGAAGCACTTGGGTACAACTGAAGACTTTTCTTTGCCTTCCTTCTGCTTTCTTTCTCTGGATGGGTAGAGATGATCCACCTCATCTTCAGGATCTTCTTCCGACTCCCTCATGGTGCACGAAGACTGCTTCTGGGTTGTTCCTGATAGGCCTCGTATTCTTGACTGCCCCACCTGCTGTCTTTTCTGCAGTGACCTCTTTCAAGGCATCTTGGAAGGAAATGTCTTCTTTTGCAAAGAGTCTTTGTTGCAAGTCTCTGTTCCTAAGCCGCATACAAATCGGTCTCTCAGCCTTTCTTCTAAATCTTTAAGGTCACAAGGCTTAGCTGCTCTTCTCAAGGCTGCAATGTATCCTTTGGCTGATTCACCAGCTCTTTGATCCCTCTGTTCAAACATGTGTCTCCACACAATAACAGACAACTTGGGCTGAAAATGTTCCTTCAATAACTTCTTTAAATCTGTGTAAGTGACAGATTCAAGAGGAACAGGGGCTGCCAAATTTTCTGCAATTTCAAATGCATCTTGACCACAGACACACAGCAAAGTAGTGGCCTTCAAGCCATCTTCTCTAACTTGATTCACTCTAAAGTAATTTTCTACTCTAGCAACATAAGACTCCCATCTTTCTGAGTGAGTCACGTTGAATTCAGACAGTCTCCCTATCTTCGCCATTCTTGCTCCTTACTCTAGGAAGGGGTCTATCAGCCAGCTTACCTCCAGCGATGCTGTATTGGCAGTCCAGGTGCTGAGTTTAATGCCATCTTCCTCTCTCAAGGACTCTTGGGGTAAGCTTACAAATCTTCTTCTTTGTTCTTTTAAGCGATCCCACCTTTGTCGCCAGTGTTGAGTCCTTGAATCAACGGCGAATGAAGAGAACACATTCTGTAATTCCAACAGCCTTTATTCTCAGTATTTTTCTTCCCGACACAACTCTGAGGCTCGCAGGCCTCTCTGTCTCCTTTAATAGAATCCCCAGGCAAAAAGGCAACAATCTGGCGTGCTTCCACGCCTTGCGCATGCGCGCAAAGCCGGCACCACTCAGTCTGGTCCCGGGCAGTTTGCAACAGCCCGGGACCATTGCAACGTCCCGAGCCTGCCTTTGCAGGCTCAGGATACAACAGTAAGAGTAAAGGTCCTGAATATCTTGGGGGAAAAATGTAACATGAAGAGGAGGAGGAACAGGAGGAGCAGAAGCAGGAGCAGATTATGATTCTGTGCTTATAAACCAAACCACTTTAGAAGATTGCCAGCTTGCATACATACAGCAAGAAGTATTAAACAAGAAGTATTAAGAGATTATGATGCTGTGCTTATAAACCATAACAAGCTTAGAAGATTGCCAGCCTACATTCATACAATAGATCACTCTAAGCAAGAAGTAGGAAGAAATTATAGAAGAAGAACTGAACACATTAAATCAACATTATAAGTTCCACATAGATTTAGGAGAGGTAAGTAGCTTTGAAGTTCATGGCTAGGCATACAGTAAATAAACTGGAGTTTTATGGTTATGCCATTGCAAAATGAAAAAGTGGAGAAAAGTACACATATTGTAAAGAAATATTGGCTGAAACATATTATATGGCTGAAAGAAAAATTTGAAACATGCTTAATTTTGCTAATAAAAGGGGAAAAAATTCCAAGCAGTTATATTGTATTTTGTAAATTGTTTCAGATCACATGAACCCATATCAGTAATCTATACACAATACATTTCCTTTTCTTTATTCTCAATTATTGAATTAGTCTTATTCAGTACTAACTGCTAAAGAATATTGACTATTAAAATGCAGTTCCTTTTTATTTATCAGTGACTTCCAGAGAAAAGAACAAATTAGAAATTTTCCATTAAATTGTTCAGTAGACATGGACTGGAGTTCATGATGATAAAGGTGAAAGTTTTGTTCACAACCATCTATCAACAATAGCTTTGCAGAAAGCATTTATTCTTCTTAAGTACTATAATGCCTCCTATGAAAAGTTCTAGGAAATTTGTAGTGTTTATCTACAGATAAAAAAGAGCTTCTACTTGTTTTTAAGAACAATGCCCAAACACAAGGTTATTCTATATTTTGTTACAAATTATTGCATATTTCAGGTATATACAACATTCTTTTTAGATTAAGTAGTGTTATATCACACACTGACCAAGAATAAGATCTAATCAGCATATGTTAATTAAAGGGGGAGAAGATATGAGAAAAGAAATGAAAATCTAACTAAATATGCTTTATATCAACTGTTAGGGTTATTTTGTGGGCAAATAGGAAGAAGGAGAGAAAGCAGAATTAGAAGTCCACTGCTTCAAATTATTTATAAAAAAATAATGAAGGAGGATAGATAGATAGATAGATAGATAGATAGATAGATAGATAGATAGATAGATAGATAGATAGATAGATAGATAGACAATCATCAGCTCCCTCCAACCATAATTTTGTCAGTCTTCTCCTTCTCATTTTCTCTACCTTATGAAACCAAACTATCCTAATGTTCTTCTTTCATAATGATGACTTTTATATTCAATCCACATCCATTCAGCATCATTTCATCTTGACTCTATCCTTCTTTTGCTCCCAGAATATTCTAGTGTTTTATTCTGTGTGTTAGACCCTGCAAATTTTATTTAATCAGAGATCTACTTAATAGTAGGAAAAGACTTCTTCAAAAATACTAATTGTAATTTGCTACAATCTTTTTCAGTCTGGTTGATATCTTGTAGTGGCATTGCAGAAGATCATTATATTTCAAAGAATTGGTGACATATTTTGATTTCCCTTTCATATTCAGAAAGGTTTAGAAGTTTATACTTCATTTTAAACCTCCTAATCTTTTTCATTCTTGTTAAAAAAAAAAAGAGGGGGGAATCTTCAGATAACTGTGGAGAGCACTGTTTTATCAAACTTTCATTCTCAATCCAGAGGTATCCAACTTGCAATCTTGTGACTAGAGAATTAAGGACAAGTATGTGTCAAATAAAAGCTCTGAACATTGCTCATTAAGTAAGAGTTAAAATGGATCTTTAAAAATCTTACTAAAGAAAATGTAGGAATGTGAGCAATGGGAGAAGATTTGCCACTAGGGTTTGAATTCAAAAATCTTAGAGCCATTCTGCTATTATTATGTTAATGGTAAGAGAAGCTCTAAAACACATTTAAAAGCCTGGTAAGCATGAATAGAATAGAATAGAATAGAATAGAATAGAATAGAATAGAATAGAATAGAATAGAATAGAATAGAATAGAATAGAAGCTGGAAGGAATCCTGGAGGTCCCTTGACTTAGTTGAAGGAGCAATGGATTACTGAGGTTAGCCTACAACAAACTAATTTGTCATTTGAGATATACAACCCTAGAAATGATATGACATAGTAAGGTGAACAAACGTCCTCCTTTTGGGAGGACAGTCCTCCTTTTTTGAGTTCTGTCCTCCCTCGAAAAGTGTCCTCCTAAATGTCCTCCTTTTCCATATACTGTCCTCCTTTTGGGAGGACAGTCTTCCTTTTGTGAGTTCTGGCCTCCCTCGAAAAGTGTCCTCCTAAATTGTCCTCTTTTTCTATATTTGAAGAATAATCTGCAGGGCTTTTTTTTCCTCATAGAATGCTCAGAAGGCGTTCTGGGACCTTTTTTTTTGATGTTTTTTTTTCAACTTTTGCATGAGCTGTGCTACTCCTCCTATTGGCTTTCGAAAGCCAATAGGAATTGCTGCTGAGCGCGACAAAACACCCGGGCAGCAAACTTTGCAAGTGCAAGTTGCAGGAACTTTGCACCCCTCACTGCTACCCAACTACACCATCTCCCTATTAGTTCCGAAGATAGTTGGAGGGGACTGGAGCAGTAAGTTTCTCTTGATCTTCCCTGTTCATTTCTACACGGGGATGCACAAGGTAGGCGGTGGTGCTGGGGGGTGGTTGGGGGGTGGCTGCAGGGCTGGAGCCGGTACGGCTGGTGCTTTGCGAGCCATGGGGCCGGCTCTACGGGGATTTGCAGGGTGGGCAGTGGTGCTGGGGAGCAGCTAGGGGGGCAGATGCAGGGCCAGAGCCAGGGCAGCTGGTTCTTTGCCTTTGTGAGCCGCGGGACTGGCTCTACGAGGATGCGTAGGGTGGGTGGTGGTGCTGAGGGGCGGCTGGGGGGGTGGCTGCAGGGCCGGAGCGGGCGCAGCTGGTGCTTTGCCTTTGTGAGTCGTGGGGCTGGCTCTACGGGGATGCGCAGGGTGGGCGGTGGTGCTGGGGGGCAGCAGCAGGGCCGGAGCTGGCTTGGCTGGTGCTTTGCAAGCTGCGGGGCCAGCTCTCCATGCCAGGGCAGCGGTGCTGGTGGGACAGTTGTGGGCGGGGGCATGGCAGGCAATTGACCTTCCATGGGCCGCGCCAGCTGGTGGTCTACGCAGTGCTGACTTGCGCTGCCACCACCTCGCCCTGTGCACCTACATGGCCATCCTGGAGCGCCTGGCTCACAACACCTGTCTCTGCCACCCACCCCCACGCAGTCCAGCCGTGTAGAGTGGGCCCCGTGGCTCCCATGTTACTTTTGCATCTACTTTTTTGAATCCATTTTCTTTCGTTCATTAATTCTCCAAGAATAAGAAATGTAAACTGTAAGCTCTTCATAGCACAGTTCTATATCATTGTTAAAATACACTGGGCAGTTATGGACATATTCATTCATATTCATAAATAGATTGAATTGTAACACTTTCCCCCACACTTAAGTCTCTTCTCTTGTGTGTATACTTTGAACATAGCCAGGCCATTTTTTATCAGCAGGTGTAAAGAAATAGAAACAAAATGTTTAACTTGGGTATTAATAACAATTTCTTTGCAATTCATTATCTTGTCAATAACATGATTCCATCAGTTAAACACATATATGTTGAAGGCAGCATATGTACTTGCATTAGACATCTATTATCTCCCACTGCTAGTCCTTCCAAAACGAACTCAATATATGTCATACTATATATGCAAAAGTTGTCTCCTCCTCTATTAAAGTGCAACACATTATTTCCCAAGTAGACAAAAAAAATAATATTACATCTTTACTATACTCACCTACAGTATATAAACATGGGGGAGCTATCACACAATTTTTCACCCCTATGGCAGTCTACTATGCTGCCTTCATGATTAATTTGATAAAACAGAACTTAGTGGTCTAAGTTCATCATGAACTAAGTCTGATGAAAATAACTATTTTGGCAGGGATGAATTAATAGCATGCATTTTGGGTTATAGGAGCCTCTCATTCACTTGAACCAAAAAAAAAAATGTGGTTGCTAATATAGGTAGGTCCGGCTTATGAGCTGTTTGTATTTAAGGAGATGCTCACAACAAATTCTAGTTTATTTGGTGAATGCTTGAAAGATGCATTACTTCATCTAAGCCAAAAACATGAAAAAAACTAAAGGCAATTATGAATTAAACTTGGCTCAAATCTTTAAGATGCAACATTAGTAAGAATGTCCCAAGGGTGAAATTACAAACCATATGCAATAAATTCAGTGTTCTTATTCTGGCAGGAACTTGCCATAAAATTCAATATGAAGGATCTTTCTTGTTCAGATATTTCCAATATATTGTTAGAAGATGATACATTGACAAAAAATATTCAATGGAAAAGTACTCATTTAAATAATTAATAGGCATGTAAGCATAATTACAATATAAAATGTTATTCTTACAAATGTTTTTATTATGCATTTATCATATTATAGTGTATTCTGTATTATTGTTGCAGTAAATACAATGTTTCTTTTATTTATGATATTTTTTTCTTCAATTTATTTGTGTCCTCCTTTTCGTTGTAAAAAAGTTGGTCATCTTAGACATAGAAACGTTTCTTTAAAAATAGATCATAAAACACACCTTAACATCATTTTCCGGATGAGTGGATTATTCATACAAAGTGATATTGTCTGCTCCTATTCCAAAGAAATAAACATTGGTTATTTTGGTTAGGGAACAGCTGGATAATGAAAATAAACTTATTCATTTTTGTATTCTTCATAAGGACACTTTACACGTCTAAACCATGTTTGGCTTCTGATGTTGTTAAGGAGAAACTTTAGAGAAAGAATTCCAATTACAACTCTCACAAGTAATGTGTTATGCTAAATACCGGAAACACGCAATCATCTATCACCCAACTCTTCTGGGTATATTTCATTGGAATATTTGCATTGACTGAAGATTATTACTTGGGCTATGGTAAAAAGAGACAGAAGCAAAAGAGATGCTCAGCTTGGCACTGACAATTTTTCTTTTCCAGGGCAAGACTCTAGAATGGAGCAATTCCAAGCAGGTAAAAATTAAATTAAAAGTAGAGGCAAAATAGATCATAGATGAATGATACCTAGCTAGCTGGCTGGTTGGCTGGCTGGCTGGCTGGATGGATGGATGGATGGACCAATCACACAGGCAGGCAGGCAGGCAGACAGGCAGACAGACAGAGCTAATAATTTGGAATCTTGAGTTGCACTCCTGGTATGTACATGGCTACTTTGATGTGTTTTTTTGTAATATAATTATACAATTGTTTTGATTTGTCTCAATTTTTAATTTTTACAGTTTATAATTTATTCCTTTTTATTATAGGGAATACAAACAAAAAAGTATATATATATATAAAGTATAAATATATATATATTTCTGATATCAAGTTAGTCTGGTATCTATGCTAATCTCAGCGTAAATATTGAAAATATGTCATTCTAATATGTGTATGTGTGTGTATGGAAGTATGTGTTTTATATTTCTGAGTTCCAAATCATATGCCTCTATTAACAGCTGAATTATATACAGATTCCAGCTTGATTGAGGCAGCATATATATTTCAGAAATAAATAAATAGATCCTCTTGCAGCCATTTTATGAACAGCAAATCAGTCTATAGCATTATGGAACTTCCATAATATGCTCTTATAACTGAAAATGTGTTCACCAGTTCAAAAGTGAAGGCACAGTGCTATAATATGACAGGGAAGAACTTCAAATTGAGAAATATGATAGCATTTATTCTATTTTGTATACTATTTAATTCTCTATAGGTCCTTGGAACGTCCACAGGAAGAAATGTTCAATACAAGCACAGTGACTGAATTCCAGCTTCTTGGATTTTCCAAGATTCAGGAACTTCAAATTGTACATTTTGTTATATTCTTGATGATTTACCTGGTGGCCTTGATGGGTAATTTCCTAATTATCACTATCATATTCCTTAACCCCCACCTTCATACTCCTATGTATTTCTTTTTGGTAAACCTATCTGTTGCTGATGTTGGTGCCATTTCTGTGACTATTCCCAAATCCATGACCCACACCAGAACAATTTCTTATACTGGATGTGCTGCTCAAGTTTTTTTTCTCATCTATTTTATGGCTACAGATGTCTCTCTCCTAACAGTTATGGCGTATGATCGATTTGTTGCTATTTGTGATCCACTGCACTACACAGCCATGATGAGCAGAGAATCCTGTGTGAAAATGGCAATAATTGCATGGGTGAGTGGTCTTCTGTATGGATTAGTCCATGTTGGGGGCACCTTTTCTATCACTTTTTGCTCCAATGTTGTCAACCAGTTCTTCTGTGAAATCCCCCAGATATTAAGACTTTCCTGCTCTGACCTGTATCTCATAGAAACTGGGATTCTTGTTTTCAGTGCCTTTCTGGTTTTCAGTTGCTTAATATTTATAGTAATTTCTTACGTGCAAATCTTCAGAACTGTAATGAAAATACCCTCCATGAAGGGAAGGCAGAAAGCATTCTCTACCTGCTTGCCTCATCTAATTGTTGTCTCTTTGTTTATTTGCATCTGTGCCTTCGCCTATTTGAAGCCAATCTCAAGATGTCCATCTGATTTTGACCTGGTAGCTACTGTGATTTACTGTTCTGTGCCATTCATGATGAATCCAATCATTTATAGTATAAGGAATAAAGATATCCAAACTGCTCTGTGGAAATTTCTTAACCATTTCACCCTATAGGTGGTTTAATGTTTTCCTTCATTCACTTTCCTCAGATGTATGGGTAGAAAGATAATTGAGTATAATATTATATGTAGTGGTGGGAAGCAGGATATAAATTGAATATACATTCACACACAGAGAGATATTTAAGAGGAATCTAAAATGAAACTAAGTTCATTTCATTTCAACATTCTACAGTATGTCTTCTCAGGCCCATCTATGGATAGATTTTGTCCTATTTTGTGTCTGATTGTGCTGAGTGCTTCTAATATAGAAAAGACTCCTGTTGCAGACTATTCCTTGGCCCTTTGAACATATCTTAATATGGGCATGTTTCTATTATTTATGAACTTAAATATCTTTCCAGCCACCTTCTACCCATATGTTTTAAACTCTACCATCTACAAAAATACAGCAAGTCTATTTGATGTTAACTTAATCTTTAATATGCCATTTTTTGGACTAAACATAATTTCATTTTAATTTCCTGTGATTGCATCTTTGGACCATAAAATAAATATCACTGGATAATTTTTCCTTGTATTTATTTATTAGTTTATAACAGTGGTTCTTAACCTTTTTAATGCCGCGACCCCCAACCAGTCGTAAGTCAAGGACTACTCAACCGGTCATAAGTCGAGGACTACTCAACTGGTGCAGCACCATTTGCAGAATGGGACTTTTGGCGGGCTCAGCAGGGCAGAGACAGCCTGGACAATTCCTATTGGCTTTTGAAAGCCAATAGAATTAGACTCTATTCAAGAGAGTCTATTCTATTGGCTTTCAAAAGCCAATAGAATAAAAGGGAGTAGCACAGCTAAGGAAAAGGGGGAAAAAATGGTGGACTGCGTTGTTTGGCGACCCCCGTGAAATGATCATTCGACCTCAAATGGGGGCCCGACCCACAGGTTGAGAACCACTGGTTTATAATATGTCATACAAAAATACAAAAGAAAGTAGGAAAATAGGGGAGGAAAAAGGGAAGAGAAAAGTGTGAGGCAAGGAGAAAAAAAGAAAAGGCTCTTCCGACTCCCTTTGGTGTAGCAGAATAAGATAATATAATCAGACCTCAACTTTTTACTTTTACATAATAATATAAACTAGCCATTTCTATAACAACAAACCTATTAAGCAGTAAAACCCAAAATCAAAGTTTCATTTTTTTCCACTTCACGCAAAAAGTCCAGAAGAGCTTTCCAAGTAGAAACAAAAGTAATTGTATTTTTTTCTTTGATTAAAGCAGTTGATTTGACCATCTCTGCTAACTCCATCAGCTTTTGCAACATTGTAAAATGTCACAAAAATGTTGTAAAATTCCTACGTGTTATAAAATTCCAACATTGTAAATGTTATTTAAAAATGTTGTAAAATTCCTACAATGAATGATCATCCATTGTAGGAATCAAAGCGTCCCTCCATTTTTGAGCAAAAAGTAATCCTGCTGCCATTAACATAGATAACATCAAAGTTCCAATTTTTTTTCCAAGACATTTTCCATTAAACCCAGAAGAAAAGGTTCTGGTTTTATCTTTATATTCACTTTGAGAATCTTCTCTATTAGAATGTGAATCCTACTCCAATATTTCTTTGCTTTATCACATATCCAGCATCAGTGATAAAAGGTCCCTTCTTTATATTTGCATTTCCAACATTCATTTGAAATACCTTTATACATTCTTGACAAATTATCTGGTATTAAATACCAACAATACATCATCTTATAACAGTTTTTTTTAATTATAATTTAGTGTAAATTATAGATCTTTTGTCCACATATTCTCCCATTGTTCAAGTACATTATATCCAAAGTTTCTTGCCCACTGAGTCACGGAATGCTTTACATATTCATTTTACAAATTCAATAACAATTTATAAATCTTAGCAATATACCATGCAGTAGGATTTCCAATTCATTTTTTGCAAGGTCAACTCTAATTTAAATCTTTCTTTCAATTGTAAATATATAAACCAATGGCAGACATGTCATTCTGATTCTAACTCTGCTTTGAGGAAAGGATCACCAAAATTAAAAGATATTATTTGACCATAAGTCCACCAGTGTAGATTCACTGCCATTTCTTTTCCAAATAAAAAATAAAAAAATCTTCCTAGGGAGACACCAGAGAGGCGTCTTCACAAAAAAACCTTGTTTTATATTTATTTCTAACTCTTGAGATGGCACATCTAACAATATAGTTATTAAAATCAATATTTACTTTAACTTTTTTATACGATAGATAGCCCTCTAAATCAAATAACCTCTTATTCTGAAGATAACCCATTCTTTTAACCAGACCAAACAGCAAACAGCGAAATACAATTTCAAATCTGGTAAACCCAAACCTCCTCTTTCCTTAGGATCTTGCAGTAATTTGTATCTAATTCTTGGGGTTTTTTTCCAATGGAGATATCCATCTGCCATTGTTTAAATGGAGTATCAATTGCAAGTATTGGTGATAGAAAGAGCATCTTTGATAAAACATTTATCTTATTTACAAAAATTCTATCCATTAATGATGGGTAGAATATTTTGATAATAATCTAGGTAAAGGGACAAATTTAATTACTGTCTGGGATTCTAGTAAAGTTGTTATAAGGGATTATTTTATAGAATATAATCAACTAGGGAAGAAAAAATCCCAGGAAAAGCTGCAAAAGATATTGGATGAAATCAGACAGAAAGAAATTGAACTACAAAAGACACCTATGGATTCTAAAATTTTACACCGAATTAAATTGTTACATCAACAACTGTCTATGTTAACAGTTCAAAAAAATAGAAACAAATTTGAACTATATGAGGCAAAGACACTTTGAGTTTGCAAATAAACCTGGAAGATGACTGGCATATAAATTAAAAAAGGAAAGGGAAAAGAGAATGATTGAAAAAATTACATTGAAGATAATAATGTAATAACAGATAATAATCTTATTAAAAAATCATTTCATAATTTTACTCCAATTTTTATAAAAAGCAGGAGCTGGATATGCCTAAAATAGGTGAATACCTATTAATACATTTATCTAAACTTTCACAATCTCAAAGATAATTGATGAATGATCCAATAATTACTTTTGAAATATCAGAAGGTGTTAAAAAAACAAAACAGGTAAAGCTCCAGGTACAGATAGTCTTATGAGCCAATCTTATGTTTTGAGGATGAACTTCTTCAACCATCAAAGGATATAATGAATAACATATTACTGTGGAGAAAGATATCTCAAACTTGGAAAGAAGCTAATATTGCATTATTACAGAAGGAAGTCAAAATGTCACAAGAATAAAGAATTATAGACCAATCTCATTACTAAATAATGACTATAAACTGTTTGCTGCAATTCTGGCAAAAAGACAGAAGGTACTACAAGCAAATAATAACAATAGCAATGACAGTGACAATGACAATAACAATAACAATAAAATAATAGAGTTGGAAGGGACTTTGGAGGTCTTCTAATCCAACCTCCTGCTTTGGCAGAAGTCAGGACACTCTGTACCATTTCAGAAAAATGGTGGTCCAGTCTCTTCTTAAAGCTTCTGGTGTTGGAGCATTCACAACTTCTGGAGGCAGGTTGTTCCATTGATTAATTGTTCTAACTGTTAGGAAATTTCTCCTTAGTTCTAGGTTGCTTCTCTTTTTGATTAGTTTCCATCTGTTGCTTCTTGTCCTGCCTTCAGGTGATTTGGAAAAATAGATTGATTCCCTCTTCTTTGAAGGAACAAGAATTGGACAGCTAAAAATACATATTTAAAATGGTTGTGATGCTCCTAAAATGTAAAGGTTTTTTTCACCTTTAGAGCAGGGGTCCTGAACCACCAGTCCATGGACTGGTACTGCGCTGTGGCATGCCAGAAACTGAACCACACAAACAAGCAAAGCCCCATCCACAGTATGCAGGCAGCACATGAAACCATGTCCTCCCCAGTCCACAGAAAAACCTCTCTCCACGGAATTCATCCCTGTGCCCAAAAGGTAGGGCCATTGCTTTAGAAGTTTTGGTGAACATTGTATTTCATTGGAGAAATTCCAGCACTTGGAATATTTGACTATCAAGTAGGTAGAAAAGTATTCTTTTAACATATTTGCTCTGTTGTTTCACAGAGCACCATTCTGTTTTTTATTCTATCCATTATGTTTCATATAAAAAATGTCTGCAATAAAATGTGATACTCATCATTAAAATTATAATTAAAAAGATTGGATTATTTTAGATTAATTTAGTTTATCTTAGTTGAAATTAGGTTAAATTACATTTTTGAATTTGTATTGATTCTGACTCAAAATAGAAAAGTATAAAGGAAGATTACAATATCTGCTCATAAACAAAAGGTGTCTTTGGTTTGTAAGTAGTTTTCCCTTTGTACCATTTCCACTTGAGACCATATTAATAAGTAGTGAGGATTCAATGGTCCCCAGAAAATTTAGTCTGGGCTAAAAATAGCCCAACATTTTGCTCATATTACTCATCAAGCAGAAAAATGAGAGGATTGCAAATCAAAAGCCGCTCAAAATGAAAGGTTAATATGCTCATGACTTCAAAGTTGTTACTGGGAAGCATTGACAGTGGAATGAAGGTTTGTTTTAATACTCCTATTATTCTGGAAATTGAACTCCTGCCCTTCCAGGTATTTATATCAAATTTGTTGAGAAAGAGTCAAGTCTGCTGTGATTGTATTAGGTTTGACCCTGGGATTTTCTGAGGTATATTCAAAGGTTTGAGTACAACAAGGGGAATTTTGTTTTCTTCATCTTCATTAGGCTTCCAACTACATATGTTATGTTCCAAAATTCTTTTATAAAGAGTTCTAAAATAAGGTTTCTGCAAGTTAAAGCCATTCTGGCATTTGTTCCACCATACTTTAAGGTTGCTTCCATGTTGCTTACTATCATGTTATTGACTTATTCTGAGAGTTGAGTCAACATGTTTTTGGTTCCACATAAGTTTATCTAGAATTCAAGGGGCTGGATTGCTCTTGTTTTGGTGCTTCAACATTTTCCTATTACTGGCTGCAAACTAACTCTGGCTTAGCATCTTCTCTGATCTACCTCTGGTAAAGAAAGCATATTTTACCAATTATTCCAAATTGTTGTAACAATTACTGTGATTACTTTCCTTTGTTTATATAAACATTTCTCACATAACCTGTTCATAATCTTTCTAGACAATTTTCTAATCTATTTTGAGAAAACTTTGATTTGATATTCTCTGTTAAATAAATTGCATACATCAAATTCTTGCCTCAACTCATGTGGTCAACCTCTAAGTTCAAGTAAGCCATTATTCATCTCCTTCCCTCTCCATACACACTTTAAAGTAAAGGCTTCTGTACCATAATAATCATAATAAGAGTTATTGCCAAAAATTCATGATTGAAAAAAGACCATTGTGGTATCCTTCCAAAAATAGAAGTAGAAGGGATGCCAGCTTGCTGGAGAATGTTTCTCCCCATCACATAGACACATAACTTCTCATATTATTTGCTTAAATGTACATAACATAAACTTAAGATATAGCTGAATGATTCTTCTTCTTCTTCTTTTTAGGGAGTAAGACATTATTTCAATCTCTTTTTAAATATCCTATTATTTAACTGGCAGTATAACACATTGATTCATGCAGTGCTTTTTTTGTTAAAAAAAAAAGGTGTCGGAACTCACACACGTCATACAACCTGCCTTGCCTACCTTACAAGGTTCCATCCAAAAAAAGTGCCAGAACTCCATTCTGGGCATTCTATGACAAAAAAAAGCCCTGGATTCATGGTATTCTTTGCCAGTTTTTAATTGTTATTTTGAAGTTTAAAGAGTTATTGAAGATCAGTGTCAGAGTGTTCAATGAAGGACTGGGGGAGTAGAAATAAAGGGAATACTTAATGTGTGAAAGCACTCTAAGGTATACACAATTATTATGAAAGTGTTACAGGTACTGGTGTTTTTCTTGTACTCTGTTCATTCTTTTTTCCCCTAGTTTACAATTTTCCTGTATAAAGTTGTGTACTTTTCATGTAAAGAATTCAAATATTCTCCCCAACTTTTTCTTTTTTTCTTTTTTTTCCTTTCTTTCTTTCTTTCTTTTTTCTCTTTCTTTCTTTCTTTCTTTCTTTCCTCTTTTCATTTTTTCTCTCTTGATATTTCATTGGGATAGAATGAAATGCTCTCTTAAATAGTTTAGGTCTTCAGATGAATCAGATTTAAAAGTCCTTGAGAATACTTCATTTTCTTCAAATGAACTGACCTAGGAATTTCTTTTTTCCTTTGACATAGGCAGAGTTTGATATAACTGTAGCTATACCCTTATTCCTTGGTAAGAGTAATTTATTTCTAAAGGCCCACCTAAAGTTGTTTGAATGTACTCTGTGTGTGTGTGTGCTAACATAAAAAGAATTAAGAAATTAATTATATATATATATATTTAAAAAGGCCCATAAAAACTGATATTTTGGTATCATAATAATAGATGAGATATCAAACTGTGTTCATTAATATCCCTTTTGTATTTATGTGAGCACAAAAGGAAGCTAAATTTGTAATTGTACAAATAAGATGGGTGAGTGGATCTAAAGTGTTTGTCTGTTTGTCTGTCTGTCTATCTGTCTGTCTGTCTGTCCTCCTGCCTGCCTGCTCATCTGTCCATCCATCCATCCATCCATCCATCTATCCACCCACCCACCCATCCTACTTATTAATTAGTTTTATATCTATCGTTTTCTGTACAAGCTCTAAGTGTCACACTGCCTTCTAGGTTTTAGTTTTTGATTTTTTTTAACCATGAGAAGAACCTTATGAGCTAGTGTAAAATCACCCCATGAGCTTGCTTGCTGATGATAAATTTAATCTAAATTTAATACCTAGTCTAAATCTTAATCACTTCACCATACTGGATCTCCTAATGTCTTTCCCAGAATGTTATGACAAATAAAGTAGCAAATAAATTATTTTATTTTTTAATAAACCATTACAACATTGTGGGAATGTTTATGACTGCAGCAATAATTGGAAATGTGGTTAATGAAACTGCAAATATATTTATCTCTAAGAAGCAGCAGGATTAATTTGCATATCTGTGACAAAACAGTAACAAGGCATGTGGACAATTGAAGTCCTTTATGTCAGAACCAGTTATCTAAAATAACTTTGTTAGATACATTTTTTTAACAAAGGAAATGCAATTTTTTTAGATTACAGTTTTAATCTGATTGATATAATTCAAAGACAGGCAAATATTTACTGTAACATAATTGTTAAATCAAACTGTAATTTTATGGTTCTCATCCTTTCCCCAAAAAATGTAGACATGTAATACTGGCATTCTCTTAATATTATCCAGATATAATATTAGTAGCCAAAAGGTAGGTAAGAGGTAGAACATTGGGGACAAAGGACTGACTTCCTGTTTCTGCATGAAATGATTATGTAATCATTTCATAAATCACACCAGGTAATAGTAGTCCAGAATACAATAAATTAAAAGCATAGTAGTTTACCCTCTGACTATTCAGTTGCCCAAATAATCCAAACAAATGTACAATACCATGATGCGAAACATATCTTAAGTAGTCATAGACCAATTTCCCTAGATGAAAAATTAATCCTACCTGATCAGAAGCTCAATATTAAATATGTTCATTGATAGGGTCTCCTTTCCTAATGGCAATCCTAGTAAAATGCAGATCTATGCCATTCAACAGTATCTCAACATATTATCAGAAATTTAAATCCAATGGCCATAAATATTTAATTACCTTACTATGTTTCTTTTTCTCTATATACAGTTCATGTTTATGAAATCTGCCTGAGGAATCCTATTGTGTTCATTGGAGAGAAATCAGTAGCAAAATGGAAACAAAGAATCATACCAGTCTTAGAGAATTTATTCTTTGGGGGTTAACAGATGACCCTAAACTTCAAATCATGTTCTTTGTGGCAGGACTGTTGATCTACATTGTTACTTTAACAGGCAATTTGATCATAATTATTTTGATAAAGATTGACCAGAGCCTCCATATTCCCATGTACTTCTTATTGAGCAATCTGTCCTGTACAGAGATTTGTTACATCACCACTACCATGCCAAATTTATTGTGGGACCTCGTCTCAGAGACCAAGACCATTTCCTTTACTGGTTGCTTTCTCCAAATGTACTTTTTCCTGACTACTGCTGCCACAGAAGGTGCCCTCCTTTCTGTCATGGCATATGATCGTTATGCAGCCATCTGCCAGCCATTGCTCTACCCTTTACTCATGAGTCAGCCTCTCTGCCAGTGTCTGGTGGCATGCTCATGGGCTATTGGAAATCTTAATGCCATTGTCAATACTGCCTTTGTTTTCTCCCTGAACTTTTGTAGTTCCAATAAAATAATGCATTTCTTTTGTGACATTCCACCTCTTCTGCATTTATCCTGTTCTGATATTTCCCTTGTTGAGCTGGTGACATTCATTGTCTCAGGGAGTATTATGATAACCACTGTCTCCTTCATTACCCTCTCCTACTTCTTTATAATCTCTGCAGTGCTCAAAATCCGTACAACTCAGGGCAAAATCAAGACATTCTCCACTTGTGCCTCCCACCTTACAGTAGTTAGTATCTTCTACAGCACTGCTATCTTTACTTACATGCGTCCATCCTCTAGTCACTCAGTAGAACAAGACTGCTTATTCTCTCTGAGGTATACAGTACTCGTTCCTTTGCTGAATCCTCTGATCTACAGTTTTAAAAACAAGGAAATGCAAGCATCATTTTTTAATGTGATTAAAAAAAAGAAAATTTTCAGCTCTAAAAGTTCTTGCATCAAACAAAAAAATTAATGTAATTCATTGTGAAATGCCCATGAATAAACTGACAGAGTTTGACTACTTGTTCTCCTTTATATATCTTTCTAAATCAGTTTTTGAGAGTTAAAAAAAATAAAAATATTGGTGTACATTAATGGGTACAATTGGAAGAGCAGGAAAGGAATATTGGTTATCCAGTGATAGTATATTCCCATAAAACTGGTAACACACTCCTTTTATACACTCTATATACAGACCTACATACAAACACCTGCGAAAACCTCAGAAAACAAAATATATATATTTGTTTTCTGAGGTTTTTGCGGGTATTTGTATGTAGGTCTTTGGTTGTTCGGGTTTTCTCCCACGTAAAATTGGAAGTGTCTTGGCGACATTTCGACGAAGTCCCATTCGTCATCTTCAGGCTGGTGCTTTCAACTTCGTGCTTTGAGCAGCAATTTGTGGTCTTAGCTGTTTATTCCTTTTAACTGCCAGTGGGGGTATGAACTGATTGGGTGGGAGCTTGGCTGTGTTCTGATTGGGTGGAGGTGTGTTCTGAATGGTTAGGGGCTTGGCTGTGCTCTGATTGGCTGGGGGAGTGTTCTGTTTGGTTGTGCTCAGGTTAGTCTGAGTTGCAGAGGGGTTTAAGATTTTGGGCTGCCTTGCTATTTTCTGGCTTCACGTTCATGGTCATGCCTCCTTTTCATGGAGGGTGTCAGTTTGCTTCATGTATGGATTGGAGGGGTTTAAAGTGGCTAATGATGCAGCTGTGGTCTGGCTTCTGGTTTGTGGTCATGCCTCGTCATCGGTGTGGCTTTGGGTTTGTTTTTTGTATATATACATACATACATACACACACACACATATATGTAGGTCTTTGGTTATTCGGGTTTTCTCCTGTGTAAAATTGGAAGTGTCTTGGTGACGTTTTCGACGAAGTTCCATTTGTCATCTTCAGGCTGGTGTTTTCAGCTTCGTGCTTCAAGGAGCTTCAACAGCCTACACCCCAAAATACAGTTCACCCCTGCAACTCAGACTAACCTGAGCACAACAAAACCCCCACCCAAACAGAACACTCCCCCAGCCAATCAGAGCACAGCCAACCCCCCAGCCAATCAGAGCACAGCCAACCCCCCAGCCAATAGAGCACAGCCAAGCTCCTAACCAATCAGAACACACCTCCATCCAATCAGAACACAACCAAGCTCTCATCCAATCAGTTCATACCCCCACTGGCAGTTAAAAGGAGGAAACAGCTAAAATCACACATTGCTCCTAGAAGCATGAAGTCGAAAGCACCAGCCTGAAGATGACAAATGAGACTTCGTCGAAACGTCGCCAAGGCACTTCCAATTTTATGTGGGAGAAAACCCAAATAACCAAAGACCTACATATATATATATATATATATATATATATATATATATATATATATATATATTTAGGTTGCTAACAAAGAATAAAGAGAGAACTGGTATAGCTATTTCGAGTTCCATTAACTCTCTTCAGCCAGACTTACTCTTCTGAGATTCGAACCTGGGCTTATCTGCATGCTAGGCAGTTGTTATAACCTCTAAGCCACAGGTTCTCTCCCACTCTGTTAGCTATCAGGAGAGAGACAGGGGGAGGAGATTTTTACCTTGAATGTGCACCCTGTCAGTCCAAATATGGGAGAAAGAAATCTTCTTTCTTTTTCTTTTCTTTTGCCTTATCAGATCAATCTAGAGCCATCCACAAGCAGCAGTTGCCAACTGCGACATCATTTTACATTTTTAGGTTGCTAACAAAGAATAAAGAGAGAACTGGTATAGCTATTTTCGAGTTCCTTTAACTCTCTTCAGCCAGACTTACTCTTTTGAGATTCGAACCTGGGCTTATCTGCATGCTAGGCAGTTGTTATAACCTCTAAGCCACAGGTTCTCTCCCACTCTGTTAGCTATCAGGAGAGAGACAGGGGGAGGAGATTTTTACCTTGAATGTGCACCCTGTCAGCCCAAATATGGGAGAAAGAAATCTTCTTTCTTTTTCTTTTCTTTTGCCTGTATCAGCTCAATCTAGAACCATCCACATATATATATACTAAAAATGCAAATCCCGGGTATATTCATGTTGAGAGAAGTAGTCGAACACCAGGATAAATAAAAACAACTGTTTAATAAACTAACAACTGTTTGATAAACTTAGCTTTCGTCGGCTAATTGCCAATGTCATCAGAGTGGAATGCCAGAAGTTTGAAAGCCTGCTCATAAGATTGGCAGTTAAAAAGCCTGCTCATAACAACTGTTTGATAAACTTAGCTTTCGTCGGCTAACTGTCAACGTCATCAGAGTGGAATGCCAGAAGTTTAAAAAGCCTGCTCATAAGACTGCTTATAGAACGCATTACTGGTCTGCCCGCCCCAGCTGACCATATTACTTCTAATAGTCTTGCATCCATCTGTATATTTGTATATTTGTAAGTTCAGGGATCACCGCCTCTCTTATTGCCGCTCTCTTTGCCTACTTTGGGGGTATCTAGCTACACTTTGCTATAGGATGATCCCCTAGTGCATCCTGTCTTGTGGCCATCCCTTGTTATGAGTGTGGCACTCCGCTTCCCATCATTGACTCCTGTAGGAATCATGCTAGGGATTTCTCCCCTTTTGCCAGTCATATTTATTTGCTGTTGTATGAGACAGCAGTTCTGGTCTTGCATAGGCTGTACCCATTGTACTCGTTGTGGGTTGTTGCGTTGTTGTTCCCACTTCCTTAGTTCTGATAAGCAGGCAGTTAATCTATGTGGTGATTAATTGAATGTTCATCCGACAGCCAAGCCTCCTTCAGTAATCGGCCACCTTTGGAGACATCCTGTGCGATGGCCTCCACCCCGGCAAGGTCAAATGTATGATTGTTGTTGGCCATATGGACACACACCTGCAAGCGTTGCTCATGTCGTTTAATGGCCAGTTTGTGTTCATGGATTCTAGTTCCAAGCCATTTGGTTGTCTCCCCAATATAATTGCAGTGACAATCCTTAAATTTCACTCTATATATCACTGAAGATCTTTCTTCATTGGGGAGTGGATCTTTGGGGCATATTATTTTGGCACGAAGAGTTTGATTTGGCTTATGGACAATACTAATGTTATATGGTGCCAATATTCGTGCCGTCACCTCTGATACCCCATTGATGTATGGCAGAGTTGTCCATGTCATAGTGGTGCCTGTGTGTTGTATTCTGCGAGGTTCATATGGTCTGCTGTATCGTCTGATGAAATCAAATGAATAGCCATTTTGTCTGCAAACACGGTATAGATGATTCCTCTCCTCAACTTTTGCCCTATCCATGTTGCAGTGAGTGTTCACATGCTTAAATAGCGTTCTGATACAGCCTATTTTGTGTGACATGGAATGATTACTCCTGTAGTGTAAAATTCTGTCTGTATGCGTTGGTTTTCGGTGGACGGTTGTGTGGAGAGTGCCATCAGGCTGACGGCTAACTAGGACATCTAAAAAAGCAAGTGTGCCATTGATTTCTTCCTCCGCTGTAAAGCGAATATCTGGGTAAACTGAATTTAAATCTCTCATGAACTTAGCGCTATCTTGCTTTTTGATGACAGCAAAAGTGTCATCCACATATCTAACCCAAAATTTGGGGCGATGCACGGACATCACTTCAGCTTCAAGCTGTTGCAGGACCACCTCCGCAATGACTCCCAAAATTGGGGATCCCATCGGCATGTCTTTCACCTGCTCGTAGATGTAAAATATGTTTTAAGGCACAGGTTCATGAGTTGGATGAGGTCCTCGATGCAGAGTGAGTCCTGATGTCACCCTTCCTCTTGTTGCAGGCAGCTCCTTATTACTGCAATAGCTAGGTCTTGTGGAATCGAGATAAAGAGTGAGGTTACATCAAAAGATACTAAGACCTCATCCTACTCCACTCTTAGCGATTTTATCCTGCTCAGGAACTCTTCTGATGATTTCACTGTGGTTTCACTGTTCTCCACCAAATATCTAATCCATCCGCTTAGCCATTTGGCCAAACCCAAAGTCGGTGTGTCCCTAAATGATACAATCAGTCGCAATGGGACCCCTTCCTTATGGATTTTTGGAAGCCCATAAAACCTGGCCATGGCTGAATCTCTAGGGCGTATTAGCTAAGACATCGTCACTGATTTTGCCCTGTTTTTTAAATTTCTCTGCTAATTTGTTCAGCTGGTTTTTAAGAGTGGTCATCGGGTCTTTCGTGATTATACGGTAGGCGCTGGTATCATTGAGCAATTCATGAGCTTTAAGGATGTATTCTGGCTTATTCATGATGACAGTTGCCCTGCTCTTGTCAGCCAGCAAGATGACAATGGTACTGTCATCTCGCAGTTGTTTCAAGGCTTCCTTCTCCATGACAGATAGGGCATGGCATTGTCTATGGCCCATAAGCAGCCCTGTGACATGTTGTCTAATTGAGTTCTTGGCCTCATTGTTGGCTCCAATCTGCTGAATAGTAGGTTCTAAGGCTGCAACAAAATCGATGGACCATGCATCCGTTAAATTGTGACCCGTGTCGCGTTGCAATAGTCTAGTCTGTCCATAAGCCAGGGTTTTTGATGACAAATTGTGGACTAGTTTATTAGTGTGGCTGCGGTTATCCAATGCTCTCAAGATCTGCATTTTGCGTCGGAGTACTTCAGCTTTGTGTTGGCTTGCCCTCGCTGAGGCATGGTGTATATGGTGGTTGAGGGCTTGATAGTGTTGGTGTGTTAATACATTGCGACAATCAACCAATGGAATACTTTGCCTTCAGATGTTGCAGGAGCTTAATCATTGGAGGCTTTGAAGAGGAGACTGGACTGCCATCTGTCAGAAATTGTGTAGGGTCTCCTGCTTGGGTGGGGGGTTGGACTAGATGACCTACAAGGTCTCTTTCAACTCTGTTATTCTAATTCTAATCT